GATACTGGCTCGCGGCCCAGAACGGATCAAGTCTAGAATCGGTTCGCGGATCCGACCCGAGCCTTTCTGTTGGTCTGTTGGCAGGTGCTTAATCGTTTCACTGGGCGGCTTTTATTCTTTAGGGCTTTTGGAGAGTTGACAACGAAGGGTTTTGAAGACGAAAACTTAAGTAATTGAAAAAGAAAACTCTCTTAACACAGATGGATAGCTCGGGTCTCAATTCGGCTGAAATGCAGCGTTTCCTCAATGTAAGCTTCCTTTTTTTTTTTGTCCTTCTGTCTCAATTTCTTTTCTTATTCAGTTTCTAATGATAACAATATCTATTTGAGCAGGTCAGTTGATGTTTATATTTATCTAACTTTTCTGCGTATCTTATGTTTCGTTTGCATATGTTAATTGGAAATTTCAAGTATAATCATGTTATTCACTTTCAGCTAATTTGTGGATCTTTCTTCTTTCCTGCTGTGATGATTTATTTGAGTATATTTGAAATGCAAAGAATTTGAAGTGGGTCTGGCTTATTGGTTGATGATCTTCTCCTGCCAAAAGTATAACTGGTTACTGGAAAGTATATTGGGTTCCTTAGTTTTGAGCTCCCTATGGCCGTTTCTAGCTGAAAAGTTGCATCGTTTGTCGGAAATTAATCTCTAGCTAAACCTTAGATAAACCGAGAAGCACTATGAATCCTTTTATGAAGTTTCTTTTTTCCTGCAGGCTTTGTGTACGTGGGGGCGAGAGAGAGAGAGAGAGAGAGAGAGAGAGAGAAAGGAATAACGAATGGAATGAAACAGAATGAAATGGAACTGAGCAGGACCAAAAATAGTTTTTGTTTGGATAAGATAGTAATGTAAATGATGTTAATGTATCTTATCTTGATGAATTGGGGGTGAAAAAGTCAGTAATGTTAAATTAATTATTCCCCTAGAGACAGTAATATAGCCTTAATTTCTATAACCTTAAAGAAAAAGAGAGCGAATTAGTCAATCAACCAAATTAAATTTTACGCACATTTCCATTCCATTAACTCTCCTCTAATTGGGGAGAAAATTTTGGGCTTTTGAGGGGGAACGAGTAAATACTTCCGTCCCATTTATATCCGTTCCATTAATGATGATGTACCGAACAAAGTTAAAAGTGTTTCACTTCCATTCCATTTCCTCTCCATTCCATTTCCTCCCTTATCTCAAATGTGCCCTAGTGTTTCTGGTAGCCTTCATACATTTTCTTCACTAAATATCTGATGCTGTTCAAGCATTAAGAGTTTGATTCGCAGCCACATAAAGTCTACCATTCAATCAAGACAATGGAAATTCTTGTACAACAGTATAGATTTTGTTAGACTACAAATTGAAGGATAAATCATTGCATGGCCAATACTGTAGGTATAAAATGAAGTTTTATGTTATTTGGCTTAAGTTTACTATCAGATGAAGTTCAAAGAAAGACAGTTGCTTAATCCTTCAGCAGTTACTTTTTTCTAATCTATATTATGTCCACATCTCTCCCAATCTCCTATCCCTTTATACCAAGTCTGCAAATACATGAAAATTGATCCCAGAGACTGTTCGAGGGTATTAATTTTCAATAACTAAGCTCAGAAGTTGGTTAGGTTTAACTTCAACTCTCTGTACTTGTTTGAGGATTAAGAAAGTGTGTTCTCTGTGGTTTGTTAGATGTATTATTTGTGCCTGTTGTTTTGCATCATCAAACTCGTGTATATATGTTTGCATCGTTGCTTTCCTTCTACGTGTATGTGGTGTTGTATTTTTTCTCTTTTTTTAGAGTCTGTGCTTATTATTTTGGCAACATTCTGTATCTATTTTATCCTCATTACTTTTATGATACTGTTATTATACGTTGTTTGCCTATAACTTGGGCTCTACTGCCTTGATACTTGATCCTGGGTAACTTTTATGGTGGCATATGCAGCAAGAAAAGGAAAAAGCTATGGTTAACGAGATGGTGGCAAAGCTTACAAGTGTATGCTGGGATAAATGTGTCACTGGCACACCTGGGAGCAAGTTCAGCTCTAGCGAATCAGCTTGTCTTTCCCACTGTGCTCATCGATACATGGATATGAGCCTTATCATCATGAAACGGTTTCAATCAATGCAGTGAAGTTCAGTGCCTAGACATGGTGTCTTCGGGACACCAATCGGTCCCCAGCTTGGTTATCAGTTACATTCTTTGTATTGTGAAGACTGAATCCTTGGTCAATTTCCATTTGGGCGGCCATCTTAAGATTATTTAGAAATTTCGGGTACTTGAGAAGGCAAACGTATTAATTTCATGCTGCATAAACAACATAGTTTTGGAACCTCCTGGTGTTTCAATTTTTTTTTTTTTTACTTGTATGGGAGTAAGTATCTGTCAATTGCGCTTCATTTATACTGTTGAATTTATAGTAATTCTTGGTGAATTAGCAGCAAGATGAATAGAATTCTTAGATAAAAAATATCACACATTTTTGACAGTAATGAGATAATGAATTTATAATAATTGTCCCAGTTGGTTCAACACTACTGATTGATAGTTCAGTAATGAGACAACTTATGAGAACTAAATATTCGCCAACGATGAAGAAATTTATGCTCACCCACTGGCTATTCATTTGATAATTTGTTTATCAATCATTTGGCTACGATACAAATACTATATCGTATGCAAATAGGTAATGGAGTGGCTGGTCATAGGTGATGAAATCATGGGTGATGCACGCAGTTCTATCACTTTTCAATTTGATTATCAAGTATACACTTATAAATTATAATTGATGATAAAAAAAGAATAATTAGTTGCATCCCCAAAAATTAAATTTTTTTCAACAGGCAAATGTTGATGTTTGTATCACATTTTATTGTTACTAGTAGATTTATAAATCTCTATAGATTTTACTGGTTACTACTTTGAATACTAATAGAAGTTGAAATAATATTGGTGTACCCATCATACAATAATATATATATATTCACAAAACCACCCTTAGTTATTTATTTTGTAACCTAGATTCTTTTCAGAAGCTAATTGTAGAGACTGTTAAAAAGTTTCTTAGCCAGTACCTATCTATGGGCACTTGTTAACTTGATTTAACAAGAGAGTATAACCTTAATTAAAGCAAGAGGTTGTTACACAAAATATGCATTACTCCCATTTGTGTTATCAAATTATTTCATACATGGAATTATTTTTTTCTTCAAAAAGCATATAAAAATAGTTTGTAGAATTTATGAAGGTTAAACTTTTAGTAAGCTATTGATAGAAATGTGATTAATAATATACACTCATTATATTATACTATTTGTCACAGTAGCAAGACAGAGAATTGAGTTTAACTATAAAAATTTATGAAATAATTTTTTTTTGTAAATTATTAATAGAAACACCGTACTCTTACCCAACATGTAAACATAATATTTCAGAAACAAAAAACAATACCTCAACTTTTATATATATAGTTTCTCGAACCAACTACATCTTCGGGACTCTCAGGATTGGAATTTTTCATATATGGGCTGAAGAAAATTTGAACAATGCGTTTTGTTTATTCTTCTTCTTGTTGTCTTATTTTCACCTAGGCACCTTCTCTTTCCTTAATAAATATTTAAATAAATATATAAAGCCACCTTAATCTTCTACTTTCTATTCTAATCTTAATATTAGATCGATCTGCCACAAATTGAGGATGCAAAATGAGATCTACAAAGATATTTTATATTTGATTGTGACCATCATCATCCTCTAGCCAAAGTCAGAGAATTGACAATTGAATTCAACAATTCCATATCCTTCACCAGATCAATTACCAACTAGGAACAAGGGAGAAGAAAAGTCACGATGGCAGGCACAAGCCAAGTTTTCCGAGATTTGAAATAGACCTTGATACAAACAAATCTTGCATTCTACGGTACAGTGGGGCAATATGAAATATTTACCATCTCAATGAGGACTAATATGCAATGCAATCAACCCAAATTCGTACCCAGATCATAAAATTTTTCACCCTTTTCTTTTCTTTAACAATTTGTACTATTTTCTTCTTCCTGTTTATTTTACACTTTAGAATCTGTCCAAGATTGTTGAGTTCCGTTGCGACCAGAGAACTGCTTTGACTCACGAGCAACTTCAGGTGATATATCCCAATCTCCACTTCTCCTTTCCCAACTAGAATGCCTAGGATTCATTATGCTACGTCCTTCAGTGTCTTCTGGGGGAATGATTCTACTCAAATCTGGTGAAATATCAGCTGATACTCCATCCTTGTCCTGCCGGTCATTATTTGCTAAGGATCCATCCGAATCATCTGCCTCTCGAACAGACCCATCCCAAATTGGTTTCCTCCCGCTATGGACTGCCATCCCCATGTAATTGAGTTCTTTCCCCATTGGACTGGCAAAACCACCAACTACTGTTCTAGGTAGAATTGTAGGCTCCTTTTGGACTTTTGCCCTGAAATTGTTCTTGGATGGAGAAATACCCGTGCAGAGAACTTCCATGAAGTTCTTAATTACCCCCTTGTCAAATGGGTTTGTACGTCGATCATATCGGTATCTAAAGTTTTCATAGGTAGACTGCCAAGGCACAAAAACAAGAACCAGATGTTAGAAGCTTAATTAAGTGGATAGATGATGTTCCTAAAATTAATTAATCATCATATATAATGAACTACATAATGCATTTGGAGGTTTGGACTAGCTGTCAGGGAGATTCCGAAGCTAGATTGAATCAAAACTTTCCTCTAACACATAATGAACTAGGAAGAATTTCTTACCTGGTTTGTACTAATTAGGTACAAATGGAATACGGTAAGCCCACCAACAAACCAGACTGATATAAAAGTGTAGATCACTAGTGCAATGGAGGCAGGAGTTTTAGCCATTGCTTTCCAGATTGATGTCCGTTCACCATTCATGATCCTCACAATGTAGACCCAACAAAACCCATGAACATATAAGCAAAGAAGTGTTGTAGAGAACACAAACATGAAGAAGAACCTGTAATTCCGCTGCATAGAAATTGAAAAAAGAAAGTTTTGGTTTAGGGATATTACCATCATATATGCACTGACTTGGGTAGTCAGAGGAGTGTTTCATTTTCCAGTAAAAGAATGTAGGGGTGACTATAAGATTAAGGCAGAAAAGTGTTAGTATATCAGCAAAGAATCTTGAGTCATTTAGCGTCACATGTTACACACGAATTCATTAATTACAAAATGAATTCAAATTCAGAACTTCCAGAAAGACATAGTTCAATTATAACTGAAGAATATCTCCTTGCCAAAGTGAAGATGAAGAAAGATTTATAGCTGCTTCTTTCCCCTTTTCTTTTTTATATGTTCTCTTTGTTCCTGCAATTTTCTAACAGCCAATCCTAATTATGTGGATTCCTTGAAAATTTCTGAAGCATCTTGCATAAACGTTCACAATTTTTTTAAAGATACAGTTTCACATATAAACTGTCATTTAATGCCATTTATGAACTCATGTAGACACTAATACAATATTAAACATCACTTGATAGCATGGAATGAACTTAAGGGTCCTTTGCACCTCGGTGGCCTGAGTATTCGGTCTTTGGTTGAAATGAATGCAGCACTGCAGGGTAAATGGCTTTTGAGGTTTATGAAGGAGGAAGGGGCAAGATGGGTCATTGCAGGGAAGTTTGGGACTGAGGAAAGGGGATCTTTTACCAGCATGGCTTTGAGATCCCATGGGAAAAGTTTGTGAAAAAAGATTGGGGCTGGAAGAAAGAGCTTTCAGCAATGTCTTACTTGGAGGGGTGGGTATGTTGACAGAGTGAGATTTTTGGAAGATCAGTGCCTTGATGGTGGTACTCTCAGGGAAAAATTCCCACAGATACATAGTATTGCTCAACAAAAAAGGGCGAGGATATTTGATTGTTACACTGGGGGATTTGGAGGGGGGAGGGAATGGCAGATTTTGGTTTCTAGAAATCAGAATGATTGGGAAATTGGTGAATATGAGAAATTGTTAAGCCTCCTCTCACTTTTACCACTGAATGGCGACAATGATAGTCCTTGGTGGACCCTTACGAAGAATGAAGCCTTTACGGTAAAGTCTTTCTATAAGAGGTTGTTCAAGTGCGACAACAGGGATGTTAGAATCCCTTTCAGACAGATTTGGAAAGTTAAAATTCCTCCAAGGGTGTCCTTTTTGCATGGGAGGCTAGTAGAAGTGTATTTTAACTATAGATAAGCTAAGGAGAAAGGATAAGGTTCTGCCGATGAGTGCTATTTATGTAAGAGGGGTGAGGAGAGTTGTAATCATGTGCTGTTGTGGTGTCCTGTGGTGTATAAAGCTAAAGATGATAGTTCTTCGGGTGAAAGGAATTAGTTGGGTAATGGCTGGATCAGTGAGAGAAGAGTTGTGGGCTTGGAACAGTATAAGAAGTACGTGTAGGTTCGTTGATATGATTCTGTTTACCTTATATCGACGATGTGGAATGAAAGAAATAGGAGGATTTTTTATGTGGTGGATGACGTGGACAGTTTTGATGTAATTAAAAATAGATGGTTTTAGACCATTTGTTTTTGTTAATGGGTCAATTTCCACAGCCTATGGAGAATTATAGGAACCTTTCTGATAAGCTGACTGATTTGTAAATACTTTTAGAGGGTTGGAACCCCTTTGGTGCTTATTAAGCCTCGCCATTCTCACAAGCCATGCCTTTCCCCATTTATACTTTTGCATTTTATACAAAATAGATATTCCATATGTAGTCAGAGGCGAGATAAACTGAATTCAATCAAGCCTTAATCTCAAATAGACAAGCTGGCTAAATGATCCCTCATGTCTAGTTATCTAGAAATGAAACCTATATCATTCAGAGGTTTTTATCCATGTGTTCTAATAAGCATGGCTCCAAAAACTGGACATAAATATACTATCCTACTAACCAAATGGAGCAAAGCAATAAATAAAACTAAAAGGAAAATAGCAGTCAAAGTCAGTTTTCTGTGGCAGAATTCTTGCAATGCCCCTCAGTAATTTGATTTAAAACATACAATTTTAAAAAATGTTCCTTACCAAACCAATGCATTGACCAACCCAAGGGCAGTGGTGGTCAAATTTTTCCACACAGTTATTGCATATCGAACAGTGAGAACAGCGTGGAGGTCTGTAAAGCATGCAGGTATCACAGTATTTGGTCCTCACAACTATTCCATTAACAACAACATCTTTCGTACGTGGTAAGCGTAGTGGTGGAGTTTGGCCGGGCTGAACTTCGGTATTGCCGTCATACCCCTCTGGCTCTGGAGGGTGAGTATTACGGGGTATTATACCAGGATCTCTTCCAGATGTTACCATAAGAAGAATTAAATCCTAAAAAAAAAAGAATTAGATCCTAAAAACAGAAGTGTTTATCAGACAATAAACAATGAGATAATTAATACTTAGCATAATATATATGAGCAATTATTAAGCCAGAGATTCTCAAGACCAAAAGTATAATCCCCGTCAGACAGGCGACCTTTCTTCCAAATTAACAGTTCCCAGCTTACTAATTAGAAGAATATATTATAATACAATATCAGTGTAACCAAGAAGAAAGAGAAAAGATAATCCTAAGAAGAAATAAACAGGGGCAAGCAAGCTTACAATAAACAGTAGTTCATTTTCTTTAATTAGTTAGTGATCAAGGAAGATTGGCAAGAAGTATCACAAAGGAGACCAAACTAATCTTGGTGTTCAAGGATTAATGGGAAAGAAAAGATCACATCAGATATCAAAATTTCATATCTCAAGCCAAATTAGTTGTATGCTATAGCATGCCATCTTCTGAGGACCTGAGGATGCCACATGTTCACCCACCCTCTGACTTGATTAATCTTTTAACTATTATCTTAATTTTTAAAATATATTTCTGCAGGAGCTCATAAAAAGATGCCAATACAACCAATATACAAAGGACTGTATTAAAGTAAAGAACTAAAGCAAGAAAAGTGTAAGTACTTAAACAAGACTGGTTGAGGAAGGAAAAGAACTCACAAATAATGTGAGAGCAACAACAATGACCATTATTGATATTCCCGAGTGATGAGGAAAATCATCCATCAACTTTCTTGCAACAAAGATACAGAAAATAGCAACAGGAGCTGCAATTAAGAATACAGTAAGGAAGAGGGATCTGACATCAGGTCCAAATATTAATCTTCCTCCGAGTAAAAATATCTGCAAAAGGGAACACAGGATCCAAAAAAATATTAGCATGAGCATGAAATGCACACATGCATTCCTCAGACCATAACTTCAGTCCAAAAAAATGCCCTAGATTCCTTCAACTAGCGTTTTCATAGTCAGGCTACCGCCCATTTACAAAGTACTAATTTTGATTTTAATGCTTAGAAAAGTCAAGATTTGTCGAATTGATAACACGCGACATATATGATCTAATGTCATGCGGTAATAATATTTCTGCGACTGGAAATCTCACAGTGGTGAATCCAAAAGTTTGTCTAGCAAAGGAAAATACAGATTTTGCAATAATTGCAGATACCAACTCAAGTTTTGAATCAATATGCTGTATTTGAAGGTGGGTAACTGGCTTCAAAAGTACTGCGCATAGATTTCATGAAATGAAGCTAACATAAAAGCGGGATTTTGCTCATAAAATTTCCAAATCCTCAATAATGTCATTTTTCTAATTCAAATTAATAGATTAAGCTTCAAATCAATTTCCTAATAATTGGGATTTCAAAGGAAACCCAGAAGTTGAGTTCAACAGTCCCAGACAAACCTTAAATCACCAACAAAACAAAACCCTTAAGACTTGGTGAAAAAAGATAAGGCGAAAAATAGCATGACATAAGATATATCAAAAGCTAGTCCATAAGAGACTTTAGTAAATTGACCAAACAAAACTCTAATTCCATAAAATATACCCTTAATTTTAAATCTCAAACAAACCCTTTTCCCAACCTTAGAAATCATTTACCAAAATAAAGTAGGATTAGTATAAAATACAAAATTGAGAGAAATAATATTAGCGTACATTGCTGCCTTTCCAGGCCTTATAGGTTCTAATCAGAGCCACCCCGCTCGCGGCGGCTCCGGCAGCCGCATCCGGAGTCTCAAGAGGAAGAGGTTGGCCGGAGTACATCTGTCTCCAAAGCCCTCTGTTTTCTGTCCAACTAGAAAATTCCCCAAACAAAAATTGCAGAGAAAATTCAAGAGAGAGCAAAAAAGAGGGGCAATAAAAAAAAAGTAAACTGAAAAAGAAAGGCGGCTCCTTTCAGTATTTTTTTAAGACGAAGATTTGACTTTTCTCTTCTTTTCATATACGACCCACTTTGCCCGCCAGTTGGCCACGGTCACTCTCGAGAGCTGGTCAACCACTTACGTATACTCCGTAGAATATATATGTGTATGTATATATTTAGACTTATATATATGTACGTGTTACGAACATTACATATATTCTTGTGTCCTGAAAAGTCAGTTACCAGGGGCTTGACGAATTCCATTAACGTGGGAATTTCAGTCTTGATTCTCTTAATTTTCAGTTACAGGTGCCTTATCGGGTCTCATTTTGCTGCTCAGGAAAAAATGTTGCTCCCTGTTTGGAGGTTTGGTTTAAAATGAGTTTTCGGGGAAGTAATTAAGAAAATAAAAACATAATTTCGTTGTCTTTGTCATTGAAACTCCGTGATGTTCCAATCTGGTCAAATGTATTAATGCTTGATTGTATTTATGATGCTCTTTTTTCTTCAAATTCTAGAACAAAAGTATGAAAATGTTTAGATTTTTCTATTATTTTTTTTATAACTCCTGCATTTTTCTATTAAATTGCATGTTTATTTTATTTTATTTTCTTTTCTTTCAACTATATATATTTATTCTCTTTGTATAAGAATTATATAACAAATATTTGGTTCCCTTCATGCCATAAAAGTATTATAAGAGTATATGCATTAAGTACTTAGTTAATTTCAAATTTAAATAATCTAAAAGTTATTTAAAGGGAGATGACGGACATGATCAAGAGTTCATGATGTAGTTCAAGTATTCACAACAACTATAAGGTCACTCACTTGCTGACAAATGGCATAACATGTTTCACTCAAAGAGTGAGGAAATAAAATAAGACTTATTCATCCATTAAAAAGAAAAAAATTGTTGTTCTTTATTACATTTATCAATTGAGAGATTTACACGTCAAATACATTATTTGATATATCAAGATACATGACATAATCAAGTGCTAAGTGTATGGTATAATTAGCATGAATATGTGGCATGAAACTTACCTTATGACAATTAAAAACCTACCATGACATTTTTTTTACCATCAAATCAATCATAAAGCCTTTTGTTATTATTTCTCTTTATTATTAAATATTAAACCATTATTTTTTGTAACTAATTATAATTTAGTCACAACTTTAATATTATGAAACTGTTTTCATAAATGCATTACAAGTGAAAAAAAAAAAAAAAAACCATATATTCTCAACAACAACTATATTTTACTTGTTATACATATATGTTATTTGACCATCAACATATTTTTTATGGAAAAAAAAGTAAGAAATAATCCCGACATATGTCTAAATCCGAAATCTAACATTTATGAGAATCATGCAATTCTAGCTTATGCGTGGCACTAGTAGGACCTTCTCTAACTAAATCTCAATCAAGACGAGGTCAAATACCAATAAGTTCTGTTAATTTTTAGGCTACCATAACCTTGTTAATCAATTTCTTGTCGTTTTTAGCATCACTAATTAGCATATTCTAGGAATGAGTGAATGATCATGATGATTAGAAGAATAAAATATATAGAATAAGGAGAAAATTCTCAAAGTGTAAGGAACCTTAAGAGTGACGGGTTCACCTCAACAAAATTTCATTTCCCAATAAAAGTGATGATTTTGCTAAGAAATGAAGGAAAGAAACATCAACTCTTTTAAGCCCTAGTTGGTAGGTATAAGGAGGTAGCTACAACTCCTCATCAAGAAATGTGAGGTTGACGTGGGAGAGAGGATCAACGACCTTTAAGCGCAAGAAGAAACTAACAAATGCTAGACTAATAGTGGAAAACAACCTAGTGATTATGTAATTCATTAGGTGAACACATAGAGAAATGTTTGGAGAACTTATAATTTGTATAACTTAAAAGCTTCTATAAAATAAATTAAGTCAAATATCTTTTAAAATTTTGATATCAAAAGTTGCATGATGTATAAGTTTTAAGGTGATTTATAAATTCGTAAAAATTTAAAATATGATTACTAGTTTACACACTTCTATTGACCAAGTAATAAGCTCAGTTAAATATCCTAAAAGAAAGCTAAGTGTATATATATAACTTACAATATATATCTTCAACTTTTTTTTTCTCTCCCAATTTTTTGTTCTTTCATGCACACATAGTGTTCTTTCGTATATGATAATGATTTTATGATGACTCGAGTTCAAATATTATTCCCCACTCTCGTTATAAAAGGAAGAAACAAAATATTAATTTGGTCATTGTACTATTTTAAAATATTCAAATTGATCATGATATTTTTTTTTTCTATTTTTATCCCTATACTTCCATAAAAATTTTACTTAAGTCTCGACTGTTAACTTTGTTAGTGGAGGTGCCACATGGATTCGAGTTGACCATGTCGCATATTTGAGTTGAGTTATTGCCTGCATCAAATGCCAAGTGTCTAATCATGTGAATTTGACATAGTCTTTTTTAATTCTTAAAACATAAACTAAGACAAAGTAAAAAAAAAATCAGACACTTCCACCAATTAAAATTGAAAATTCACAAATTTTTTAACTTCAATGGGTGATTATTCTCCAAAACCACCCAAATTTGCTTCGTGATTGCTTACCAAAATAATTACTCCAAAACTATAACACTAGATCTTTGGAGGCTATTGTATATGTTTGTGGAATCTCTTGATGAAGATGCAATGACAATGCAATTTTATATTAGTATAAGGATGGACGATAATTAGAGATGGATGAGCTATTGCTTTAAAAACCTTAACATGCTTCATCATCATCGTCAAAAAGTTGTTCCTGCGAGACATGTAATTCAGACGGTGACCTAGAAAGGCATTTTAGGGTTGAACACCCAACTATAAGACCATCAGTGGCTAACCTGAAAAAGCAACATAATTGAATGAGGAGTGATAAAGGGACTTTGGGGATTTCTTTAA